GGCTTGGGGATAAGACGACGTCCGTGGTGGTCAGAGATCATGCGGGATACTTAGGCTAGAGTTGATGCACGTGGTTGATGGAGATTCCATATGGCATACGATGGAGGTATTGTGTGCGTATGGGATACGGAGTCGAATTTGGAAGGAGTCCAAATTTGGTACGATTGGCTATGTAAAGTTTCTTTCTTGTATTCGAGGGTTTCCTAAGGTGTTTAGGACTCTTAATATGAGTTTGGTTCGTGGCTTTAGGCTGCCTACCTCATGTATAAATAGAGGGGGAGCGTGAGGCTTCCCGGTATCGCTTTTGAGAGCAATTGAGTTGAGTTTTGAGTTAGGGTTTCGAGTTTAGTAGAAATTTTTGTAAGGAGTGCTGTTGGTGCACTTTGTAAACATAGAGAGAATCAATAAAGTTGTCATCTACTTTAAGAGTTCTTCGATTTGTGTTTACCGGGTTTCGGCAGTCTAACCGGTAACTCATCGGCGGTCAGACCGGCGGGAGCGAGGCGGTCAGACCGGCGGCGACATCAGGCGCGGCAAGGATTCCAGGGCAGTCCAACCGGAAGATCAACACCGGTCAGACCGGTGGCTACGCTTCGGTCAGACCGGCTAATCTACTCCGATAAGACCGATCTTCATCGAAATTAAGGGTAACTTTTATTTCTGCTAAAAGTTTTCGGTTTTTGGGTATACCAACCATTCACCCCCCTCTCTGGTTGGCTTAGTTCTTGTGATTCGATCCTATAAATTTCACAAGGTTAAGCATGATTCATCCGACGAAAGAAAAGGACATAATCATGATGAATTTAGCATCCCAAGGGAAAAGAGTTTTTTGTACTATTATCACTACTACACTAAAGATGCAGATCCATGGAGTACGTTTGAAGCAAGGCAAGGGCGTGGCGCTTTAATGGTGGCTTTGCAAGTATGGTACTACTAGCATTGTAAAAAAGGTTAAAGCAAAACGAGCAAAGCTCCCCAACTAATTGCTTAATGCCATGCGACGACATGAGCGTAGGCATAAAAGGAGGCATATGTGTGGGAGCTCTATATAATGGGCTCATGTGATCGATCATGGAGCTGTGCTGCACTGCACCATGGCCTGATCTGTGATCGATCCATATCCATGGCTTTAAAGCGAGAAATGCTGGTGATCGATCGGTCGATCGATCTCCCACCGACGATGAGCAAAAGATGGAAGAATCTTGCGAGACAAAAGACAAGCTAGTTACTTGGAACGCACAATGCAGACACAAATTTAAGTTTATAGAAAAAAATAGTATTATTTTTGACCCAAGATAAATTTACTATAAAAATATATTTAATTATTAATTTAATAAACCTAATTTGGTAATGTATATATTATTATATTTTTCAATAAACTTAATCAAATTTAAAGTAGTTTGACTTTAACCAAAGTCAAAAACATCTTATAACCTAAAACGGAGGGATTAATTATTTTTTCCAAACTAATGATTGATTGCCTCTCGTTTCGCAAAAAAGCTATTTCTAACTATTAATCTGAATAAATACTTGTCCACTAAATAAGTACTATTACTCAGGTTGTTTAGCATATATTAAGATTTAAGAAAAAAGATTATGATACCCTTATTAAATGATATGTATGTAAGAGTGGAAGGGTAAATGACAGTAAAATAGAAAGAAATTTGAATGAGAAGTGATTAATGAAACCATTAGTATGTTATTGTGATAATTATTTTGAAACAAATTCAAATCCTAAAAATACAACTATTGGACAGAGGTAGTAATAAGTAGTACTTGGAGTTAATTCCAGATGCCAGTTGCGAGGAGCCTACCGAGAGATCACCGAATTTTCGCAGTCGCCGTAGCGTGCCCACTATGTGCCATCAGCCGAGGGGGCCACAGGTGAGTAAACAGAGCTCGCCAACTTACAGCTTTTGAGGCCAATAGGCGAGCTAGTACCCGGACGTACGGACCCCACCCCTCCCTCGGGCTCAGATCACCGAAAAAAATGGTGAGGCACACGGCACGGGGGACCCCAAGCCCGAACGCGGCATCTGCAGCGCATTTGCCCGCTCGCCACCGGTGCCGCCCGCGCGCTGGACTCCACCGGGTTTGGCTTCTCGCGTCTCGCGGCGCGTCGGTGCAGGGCGCGGTGTGCGAGCCGTACGTCGTTCGAGCGATACTGCCGGTTTCCGCTGCGCGCGCGCGATCGATCGATCGGCTCTCGTTGTCGGGATGGACGAGAAACGTGGGCGAGAGACGAGACCGGGAGACGGCCGTGTCTGTGGAAGTGTCCGTGTCACTCTCGCGTCCTGGTGGCAGTGGTGTTTACTTTAGTGGGGTGTTGACCTTTTGGCAGCGGTGGTGGTATATATGGATGGACGGCACGTTCGGGTGATGCCGGCGCCGGGGGACCATATATACGCATTGCGCAATTGCGCAATTACTCTCGCCATCTCCAACTGCTTTTCGATCGTTACGGGAGGGGTATGGAGTGTGCCAGTGTGTGTGTGTGTGGCATGTGTTCGTTATGCGTATACATGTACGCAAATGGCATCTTTCTTTTCCGGTTCCAATCCTTTGCTGTTGCAGGTTTACGTAAGGGGTGTGTGTGTGTATCCGTTAAGCCAGATCGGGCTTGAATAGGGGCTTCACGGCCCATTAGGAGCTACCTACCAGGAATAAGTTCACTTATGTTCCCTAATATTGACGATTTTGCTATATATTTGTCGACAAATTTTCTCCCAAAAATTTGACAGATGTAATTACAGTACAATCGTAGTGTAATTACACTGTAACTTGCATGTAATTACACTGTAACTATAGTGTAACTTGTATGTAACTTTCAAAAATCTCTCTGTAATATGTTATTTCGGTAAAATGGAGGTTGTGGGAACAAATCCTTATACATATGTGTGTGCCGTGATTTTTTTTCTTCCTCAGCAAAACAAATCTTGTAATAGATATAATGATTCAAAATTACATGAAACTTACGTACAAGTTACACTGTAGTTACATGCAAGTTACAGTGTAATTACATATAAGTTACAGTGTAATTACACTACGATTGTATTACAATTACATCTGTCAAATTTTTAGGAGAAAATTTGTCGCCAAATGTATAGGTGGTCCCAATATTGACGTCGAGTTTGGATCACGTCGTGTCTCTCAACATACAAAACTGGATTATCCGAGGTTCTAGCCTTCTAGGACAGTATTGTGCCTAGTTATAACTAACGTGACGAGTTGACTATGGTCAACATGGCTGAGTCAACAGCAAGACCCACGCGGACCCTACATGTTAGTGGTCAGCATTTTCTTCCTCATTTCTCTCTCTCTCTCTCTCCCTCCCCTATCCTCTCCAGGGCAATGGCCGATGGGGAGAAGGATGAGGCGGCGGCCGACGGGAGAGGAATTGGTAGGCAGAAGGGATGGCGCACAGCAAGCGGTGGGGAGATCAACCAGCGAGAAGAAGGGTGATGCACTGTGGGCGGCAGGGAGAAGGACCACGGCCGATGGGAGAGGAACTGGCGAGAAGAAGGGTGGTGTGCGGCAAGTGGCGGGGGAAGGGCTATGGCCGATGGGAGAGAAGTTGGCTAGAAGGCAGGGAGAAGGATCGCGATCGACAGGAGAGGAGCTGGCAAGGAGAAGGGTGTTCGCTGCCACCAGGAGGCCAATCCAAGTCACTGCCAACCTCTAGAGCTTCGAGCATCAAGCTAGCGCTCGGCTCTCGAGCTCTCTTGTTTCCCCTCTGTCTAGCGCATCTCCTTGCTGCATCGTTACCCTGTGCTCTCTCCATCTCAATTCCATCCACATCCTCGTCAGCCTCTCCACCCCCTCTTCCTCACCAACCACCTGTAGCTCCCACCGCCAACACCCATCACCTTGGGGCCCGAGTCGCAGCCCTCTCTATCAAGTCATCGACATCTTTGCATGACCTAGCGAGTCGTGCTGCCCTTGGGATATTGCTCCGCATGACCTCTACATCTACCACCGCACCCACATCAGCTTCCCACGACTTCGACGTCGCCTCCAGTGAGCTCACTTGCGCCATCCTCATGCACTTTCTTCACAACCACAACATATGTTCCGCCTCCTCGTGAACGGCATCAGCGGTTTCGCTCTCCCCCACCTCAACACCACTCTCCTCACCGCTACACTACTTTGGGCAACCGCCCTTGCTCCATCACAGGGAGATGTACAAACAAGGGAGGGAGAGGGAAGAGGGAAGGAGAGAAGTAAAGACTCAGCATAGCCCCACACCAAGTTAGGCTAAGTCGTCAACGCTGAGTGCCTGAGTCGCTGACTATAGTCAAAGCGTCATGTCAGACAAAACTGGGTGCTATAATGTCGGACCTCATTTAATTCAGTTTTATAATATTAGGGACTTATTATATTTAGTATTACGGTTCAACTGTTTTTCAAACTCGCTCTCAACGTGAGGGATCCAAAGTGAACTTATTCCCAACAACTATAGCAAGGAAAGTAGAGAAAATTAAAGTTTACTTAGTTTGGGCCTCACACATACGAGATAATCTCATGAGCTACCGTGCTACCTGTTTTAAAAGTGCATAAAAAATCACAATAAAATATGAAAAGATTCCGAGAATACTGTAACATATATAGTACCATAAAAAATCAACTCAAAATTTGATTTGCATGTGGAGAAAAAGAAGACAAATTCATGGTCCAAACAGTGTACATTCAAACATTTTACATTACTATTTACATGCGATTTATCTTTTTACGATGGCGCATAAAAGAAGACAATATTAGTGGATAGTAGCGTCCAAATTGAACAAAATGCTTCACTATTGTGTGATTTTCTGTTTCCAGATTTGCATACGGGGGTATTCGGGTTCAGATGCTTTATACATGTAGACTTGAAAACTTTGTACTGAATATGCTCAGTTGATATAGTCAGGTAGTACTACTACGTATTTTAATCAGTCTCTGAATGATCCAGTTTAATTGATTGATCTGTAAAACACGAGTATACCATACGTGTAACTGTTGGATGGACAGTAAAATAAAAGATTTATTAATGTGTACAAAGCCAAACTATATCATAATAATTCACAAACAGCACATACTAACTTACTAAGTATATCTAATGTTAAATGATTCCTTCTTCACAATAGCCATGAACAAATGCATTACGAGTATACTACTGTCATTAATTAGCTGAAACCACTGAACAATGAACTACTCGGCAAGGTCTGCAGGCCCGCGATGCGGCGGCGCCGGCGCCGGCGCCGGCGAGCCACCGTCCTCCGTGACGCCGACGGGGACGTCGGAGAGCGCCGCCAGGAAGCGGCGGACGCTCATGCTCCGCATCGGCCGGAAGCTGAGGGACCTCGACCCCGCCGCCGCCGTCCTGTCCGGGGAGAAGACGCCCGACGACTTGCGCAGGATGAGGTACACCAGCGCCTGCACGACCGCGAACACGGCCACCTTCGCCAGCGCCGCGGCGAGCTCCGGCGACATGGACGCCGCCGCCTCCGCCATGTCGACCATTGCTACTAGCTCTGTGACTGCACCGAGCAGACACTGTAGCTTGCAATCCAAGAGAGAATGAGATTTTCTTATTCTTCTTGTATAGAGACTAGAGAGGCACTGCTAGCTAGTCGATTTGGAGGAGTTCTTGGGTTTGGTTTTTATATAGAGAATGAGCATTTGAGGATTGATGGTGTTGGTGTCATTGGATATTTGGATTGGAGTGAGGCTTGCACGCAACCGGTGAAGTGTGCTGGATTCCAGAGTCCAGCAGATATACGCGGTGCCTTTGGCTTCGATCGGTTTTGTGCTGAGGTTTGTGAAGGAAGGGAAATGAGGTGCAACAAGCCTGCACGTTTCGTTCCCACACCTGAACTTCGGTTTAGCGTCCTTGTGCCATGACCCATCAATCATCATTCATTCTCTGTCTGAATTCGGTTAAATTCTCTGTCTGAACATGAGTGCTCAACTGCTCAAAACTCAGGATCAGGAATTCAGGATCCTCTGCAGTTAAAATCACGTGACTTTGTTAACATGTGGACCCAATAATCCCTGAGTCCATATGTCAGTGACAAAAGCACCGTGCATTCGACTGTAGAGAATCTCAATCCTATAACTCATGTGGACCCAATAATCCCTGAGTCCATATGTCAGTGACAAAAGCACCGTGCATTCGACTGTAGAGAATCTCAATCCTATAACTCATAACTCATATAACTCATAACTTATAGTACTAACTATGGAGGGGACAGCTTATAACTAGGATATTTAATTTTTAAGATTAGTTAGAATAATTCGTTTGAGTTTAATGAAAATGAAGATTAAGTACGAGCGTGTAAAATGAAAAAACCATTAGAGGATGATTAATTAGGTTTTAATCGTTTCAAAGTTGAAAAAAAGAATTTATCTATTATTTTAAAACAATTATATATAAGAAATTTTAACACAAAATATACCGTTTAGCTGTTTAAAATATGTGCTAATAAAAATCGAGATAAAATTCTCATCTCAATAAAAAGGGGCATTTGCAAATTTTCCACAAGTTTTTTCAATTTTACAAGGATGCCACTCAAATGACAATTCTAGTGGTGTTTTTGCAATTTTCTAATGACAATCTTGCAATAACGATTTAAAGCTATGGTAAATTTACAATTGCCCCTAATAAGGAAAGAATAGAGCCTTAGGGCTTGTTTGGCTGGCAACTAAATTTGTCACATATTTTTTTTTTGCTAAGGTGGCTAAGTTTAATCTTGCCAAACTTTTATGGCAAACAAAATGACAAACTAAGCTTAGGCAAAGTTAGGCAAAAAAAAAAAAGAGTACCATAGAGTATATGACATGTATGCCAAGTAGCTAGGAGTTAGGTAAAGTAAAATTGTGGCAGAAACCAAACGCTGTCTATCAAAAAGTGTGGCTTGCCTTAAGATTAGATGTAGCAAATTTAGTTGTAAACCAAACAACCCCTTACTACATGGAGTGGGGCGGTTCAAGATTTCGGTTTTTCTAAGGGCACCCGTAATGGTTATCTATAGGCTCTCTACAAGAGATCCATGTCAGCATATTTTTCTACTTGGAAGATATTAAATAAAGAGAGAGAGCAAAGCTATCTGCTAACTTGGAGATAGTCTATAGAGAAAAACGAGGCAATGCATTAGAGAGCTATAGATACCGATGTAGATATACTATTGAGGTGGTTTACTATTAATCTAGTCTATTGCTGAGATGTACATGTTTTATAGAGAGCATCTTACTTTATTATTGCGAGTGCTCTAAACTAAAGCTAGTCCACAGAGGGACTACATGTGTCAATGTGTTTGATTGTGTGAAGACATGTACTATTGTACTACTTTGCTTGGTTCAGGAAGTTAACGTCAGGTGATATGCTATTCGCCATGCATTGATAGAGCAGAGCCAGACCATCTTCTCAACTCATCTCTCTCGTTTTCCACGCGTACGTGTTTCTGCAAAAAATTTCTATATGAAAGTTGCTTAAAAAAATTAAATTAATCTATTTTTTTAAAAAAAAGCAAATACTTAATTAATCACCTGCTAATCGCTGCTCCGTTTTCCGTGCGGGCAAGTGTTCTCTTGCGTCTAATCGTTAGACCTTTCTCAGAAGGAAGCTGGAATTGGCAAAGGAAATGAGGTGATCCATTTTTTGAGCTTTTTTCTTGTGCGCTGGAGGCTGGACTGCTGGAGCTTTAGAATGAACAAAAACCCAACGGCAGGACAGCGTGAGTTCACGTGGCGGCCAGGAGGTTAATCTGGACGCAGTATTCCAAGGCAAGTTAGCTCTTGCAAGCCAAGCAAGTGCTCAGTGGCTTATAACGTCAGTGTCATGCTTGCTTCTCAAATCCCAAGTCCTTTGCTAGCGTCTCATTTCTTCTAGTGCAGATAGCAGGAGAGATGGATATCCGATCAGATTCAGATATCTTCATGTCTTCAGAGTCTCGCTTTGTGAAAAGCAATTGCTTTATGACATATAAAAGCGCTTTGTACCTTTAGCACAGACGACGCTTTGGCCGAGTGGTTAAGGCGTGTGCCTGCTAAGTACATGGGGTTTCCCCGCGAGAGTTCGAATCTCTCAGGCGTCGTGAATTTTTGTTTGTTTTTGTTGGGAGTTCCAGTGTACCTCCTTTTTGACAATGGTTATGTTTCATTTTTTTAATTTTTGTTTTACCTCCTTTATGACAATGGTTATGTTTCATTTTTTTAAATTTTTGTTTTCACAGTTACAGTGTACCACCTTTATGGCAATATTTTTTTTTTGTGAGATTGTTAAGAATAAAATAATTTTGTCGTACAATCGTTAAGTAAAAATAAACTCCTTTATGCCAATATTTTTTTTGAAATTGTTAAGGGAAAAAAAGAATTTTGTTCGTTACGGACAAAAGAACTACTTTATACAGAGAATACTTTGCAGTAAATCGTGAAATTGTTAAAGAAAAAAGAACCACTTTATACAGAGAATAATACGCAGTAAATGAAGCCATCATGGAATTAGAATTTTGGTCTTTCTAAAAAAACGAAATTCATGTTTTATGTACAGGTGATGGAGGATAGATACAAAGTCCTTCCAAGTTTTCAGTCTTGTTTCACTTTGAACTAGCCTATATTGCCCATTCGCACGACTCTAGACATTTTATTATGTGGTACGTGGGAGTGGTAATTTTTTTATAGGTTTATCGTTGCTCATAAAAAACATAGTTTAGACATAGGTTAGGCTGAGTTTAGACATAGGTTAGGCTGACTAATATTATGATAATACACTAAATAACTTAATATTTGTTACAAATTTTATAAGTTATTGTCCTACAGTTCTTCGTGGTTGCATGACCCCTTACTTTTTATTGGCACATGCTTTTTATAGGCTATGCACAAATATTTGTAGGTTTTTAAGGAATGAGTTTGATTTCGTTTAAATTCGTGTGAAAATCATTTAACTTATATTCGGTGACCATAACTGTGCATGTCTTTATAGTAATTTTTCTCAAATATATTAAAAATAATTGTTAGAAACAAAATTAATCAAATGAACATACATTTTGTATATACTCGAAAAGTCGAAATAGCTCAATCTTGACCCATGAATCTTTAGTTATGATGAGGGTTTATTTGTAAAATAGTTTTTACAATAGATGCAAACAGTGGTGGAGCCGAGGCCCGGCCAGCATGGGCAGGCGCCCAGGCTCTACGGGCTTGTTCACTTTGATGCCATTTTCAACCTTACCAAATTTTAGTAAAATTGTCAAAAAAAAGTGGCTATATTTAGTTTGCTGTCAATTTTTGGTAATTATATAAGAAATTCTACCAAAATTTTAGCAACTATGCCAAAATTTGGCAAATTTTGGCATTGCCAAATTTTGGTAAGGTTTTTTTTTTCATCAAAGTGAACAGGCCCTGCCACATGCATCCATACATTATAGCTAAATAAAATGCTTAGCCATTAGTCTAGCTGCACATGCGCCATTAGATTAGCACTAATTATCATATTTAGTTATTAGCCAGCAACCCAATTTTGCTTCTATTCATTATAAAATACTATAGTATTTGTGTTTACTTGTTACTTTATGAGGTTTGTCCAGGCTTAATTTTTTTTCTAGATCCGCCACTGGTTACAGATCGTAAATTATATGTATAACATTATACCTTCATATGTTTATTCTTTTAGCTTTTCCCCTCCTTTCTTTCTTTCCTTCTAGTAGTTTCATCCCCGGAAACTTCTTAAATTATTATTTTTACTATCCAGCTAATCCAACGATTAAGATTCATTTATCCTCTTTTATCTTGTAGTGAATCCAACGGCTAATATTTATCGAATGATGTGGCTCATCCTTATTTCATTTTGAGTTTCACCTTTCAATAGTTAAGATTTGGTTTATAATAGGGAAGACAACTGCTCGACAAGTATCATGAACATTTCTGTATTGTACTATTCTTGATGACAATATAGACATCTTCGCAAAATATACAAAGACACCATATATGTTTATTATCACGGCTGCTTCCATATTTACAAGATACAGAACAACAGAGAAAAGGTTACACCAACAAAAATAAGTAAAGAAAAATAAATAAATATACAACATGAGCTCAATATGTATGAGCAATGTTAACTGGGTAACTACCTGTGTGCACACTTCCTCTGTAAAAATCATGTTTGAATCAAAACTACTGCCAAACTGTTACAGTTTACAACAACCTTACACACCTCAGTATTAGGCTGTTTGTTGCATCCGTTTCCATGTTGCTCACACACCTCAGTCTCTTAACAAATTTGGGCCCTACCCGAGTCGTTCATAAGACTTGAACCAGGTGGTCGGCTGGTTGAACAGCCTCTGCCTCTCCGATCTCCATAACAAGGCCATTGAACTTTTGCCCTCAAACACCTTCTCTTGTTGCCATGGAATCATGCTTCACTACTGCATCCTATGTTTAATGATAAAAGGTATTTGGTTTGCCAGATTTTACCAGCTTCGCTTTGAGCTCTGTGTTCTCCCTTTGTAACCGTTCAAGCTCAGCCTTCAGCACAGCATTGTCATGTCGAAGCCGTTCTACTTCTCCTTCAATGGTCGTATCTTCTCCCTAAAAACAGCAGAGAGAGAGAGAGAGAGAGAGAGAGAGAGAGAGAGAGAGAGAGTATTAAGGTTTTGCACTCTTGAAGGAAAAATAACATAGGGTAATTAAACTACGCAGCTAAACGTGTCAGTGTCAAATATTTACATTGTCCTGTTGGTGAGTCAGAGGCAGAGATGGAAGCTGCCCAGTGTAAGGAGCGCCAAGCAAGACCTCCCTTATGACTTCATGTGCTGCCAAGCCGTCAATACCCATGTTCTCATAGCTCCAAAATGCACCTAGTGTTCCCAAGAACCCCTCATGGCACAGAAATGTTGTTTGAACTTGGCCTTTGGACCTGAGAGCAAGAAAAATTGTAATGAACTAGTAACAAGTCAATCGCATTGAACTGAGCATTAAAGTGTTCCTGGATAGCAAACTTAACAGGAATTTCTTACCAATACTTGAGGGAATGGGAAATCTTGTCCATAGTCTTCTCATGGCCACAGATATAAGCACCTCGGAAGAAAATTCTCTTCAGACCAGAAAGATTAGCTACAAAGTAGGCTATCTAAAAGAGAAACAAAATGAGGTCAGCACATTATTGGTGAATGACACCTAGTAACTCAGATATCTGGAAATACCTGCCCAATGTTGTAGGTGAAAGAATTCAATAGAGCTGCCGCAAGATCCTCTACTTTGTATTCCGAAAGTCTACTTGAACTCACTTTTCCAAAGCTAGCTGCAGTAGTGGACGCAGGAAGACCAATCTAACATAAAGAGAATAACAAGTGGACATTGTGATTTTCAATCACTAGAGTAATGTAACAAAAAACAAGAGTCAATTACATATTTAAATGGAAATAAAATGGTGGACAGAAAAAATATATGCTAACATTTGCTAACCAAACTATGGATACTTCCACCAAAGAACTAAGGGTGGAAAATAAAAAATATATGTATTGTATTTTTAGTTAGTTGTTTGGCTTAGTAATGATTAATATCACACAGGACGTTTCACCAAAAAAAAAAATCCTTTTGTCAGAGTATGGGTATATATACCTTTGGGTAACCATGCTCCCCATATATGTCACCAACAGTCAAATCAACAGCTAAATTATTGCCTCTCTGGCTCAACTCCAAGAATTCATCATAACTAATAACAAAAAAAAAGCAATTAATCAGTATGAAATAAAATCCCAATATTAATATAAAATAAACAAATCATAATGAATACTGAATATTACCTTGAACAACCAGTCAAAAGCCTCGCCAGACCAAGGATAGTGCCCCCACCTAGGTGAGATCCTATAATCCGCTCAAACTTCCCATTTCCAGTTACCTGCCTCACAAAACAATGCTCTATTAACAACTGTCCTGTAAATAAAATACTAAATGCAATGAGAAGCTGTGTATTGGCAAACCTCTATCATGCTGACACCTGATCCAATATTAACAAGGAGATAAGGAAATATGTTTCCATCATTATGTTCATCTGTTGATGTCTCATCAATAGGTGTTGCTGATTCATGGATGTTCTCCTACAGCAACATAAAATAGAGCACAAGAAACTCCCACGTTTGAGCTTGGAATTAGAAATAATCCTAATGACATAAACACCTATTGGAAAATATCAAACAGTTTACAAAAGGACATGTGTTGCAAATAGACTGATGCAGATAACACCTCCACTTGTGAATTACTCTAGATTTTGTGTAATTTGTATCTAGTAGCACATAAACTTTTTCTTAGATAAAAAAACATAAAGAATGAGAGCCAAATTTGTTTTCTTTCTTTTTGGAGTAGTAGGACAATGATAAACAGTCAACAGTATTTTCTTAGTAACTCACTAACTCACCTCCTCTTTCATTTCCTCAAGGTTCATGTTTTTATCTCCAGAATCACCATAACTCATTAAGGCACCAAGAGCTCCTAAATACCCTTCATGTTGCAAGAAGACAGCTTGCATTTTACTCTGCGACCTGAATAACAGACCTCGCATATTAAAGTCCCAACAAATGGAATATTGCAATTATGAATATACAGTTTTATATAACTTTTTGAAGAAAAATGACATCCACATTGATACACTTAAAATTTTAGGAAGTTTTAAGTATTTACCAGAAGTCAATTGCATAAGAAATATTTTGCATCGTGCTCTTATGTCCACGTATATAAGATCCACCAAAGAACACTCTTCTGAGATGCAAGATTGATGCAACAAGGAAAGAAATCTGAATGACAAATACCATGATTATTTTACCACAACCAGTAACTGAAAACATAGTAACAACAGAACCGCATAAGTTGAAAGGTAAAACAAGAGTTCTTTCTGATAAAGTTTTACCAGCATGTTTGAGGTCATTTGCCTAGACTGCTTTCTGCTGAAACATTCTTAAGTTTAAACATGTTTCTTTTATCCCTACCTAGGTTCAGAAGAAACCGTTGGTTACTGTGCTTTTCTTATTCCAAATTATAACTGCATATTCCCAGGTAATTTCTTTCAAGAAAGTGCTGTTAACTAGTGTGGTTGTACCATAGATGCACACAGCTGAGGAAGGAACCAAGAGAATTTAACTAAGCTCCTCTGTCTTACGTTATCCACTTCCAACATAATCTGTAGTGACTTAATAGCTAGAAGAAAGATCGAACAAAAACTCACTTGTGCAATGTTATAGGTAAAGATCGAACAAAAACTCACTTGTGCAATGTTATAGGTAAAAGCGCTCAACAATGTGGATGCTAGATCTTCAGGTCTGTAATCTGTTAACTTCTTCTTAGAAGTGATAACTTTCCCAAAACTAGAAGCAAGAGTTGAAGTTGAAAGTCCTTGCTGGAGCATATAAGAAGGGACCCATAAGATGTAAGAACAAATATTCAATGATGAAATGAAAGGATCAACACTTCAAAACTTAAAAGATAGCTGAAGATAAATAAATAGGTGCATGTCATTAATAATTATAATAATCCTAGAAGTCATACTGCTTTGTTAATGATGCTAAAAGAATAAATCTGTTGCATATAAATAAATACAATCAAGTATGGTAGAGTTAGCCCGCATGCAAAAGCACGACTGGCCTACCAAAACTAAAACAAAAGAAACAAGGACAAAGTGAAAATTAAATTTGCAAGACAAGAGGTCTTGGTCAATCAAATAAAACAAGAAAAGGGTAAAGGCAAACCTTCTGGCAAACAAGTTCCCCACATATATCCTTCACAATTAGATCAAGAACAAAATTGTCCCCTTTCTGGCTTAATTGTAAGAACTCGTCATAACTAGAGAATTATACCATATCAGTGAGGAAACAGTAGCCAAGACAATATATGACATAAAAGTATAGGGATTACCTCTTACAGCCTGTTAAAAGTTTTGCTAAACCAAACATTGTTCCGCCACCAATATGTGTCCCAGTTACCCTTTCAAATTTCCTATTTCCAGTGACCTACATTAAACTTGATAAAACATGTTTATATGAGCTGCATTGTAAGGCATTTCCATACAGGTATCATGAGGAAGAAGTGCAACCTTTAATATGCTAACTCCAGAGCCAATGTTGACAAGAAGGTAAGGAAACAAGTTATTTGGGGAAATATCAACAGAACTTTTCTTTCCATTCATGTGTGTGAAGGCTGCTCCAGGAACACTCTGCAAGAAAGTATCAGTTTAACCAAAACAATCTCCAAATAAGAAATAAATATCCAGACGATACAGACGATAAGTTGCCTGCAATTTTCTCAAGAATTTGGTGGTCCCATCCAAAATACAAATTGAAAATCTACAGAGTGGTCAAGATGTGCAGTGATTTATTTAACGGCCACAATGAATATAGATGCATATGACTGACCTGTAACAAAAAGTTTGCTCCAGAAACAACACTATCCATTTCATCAACCTTGTCAAGACAAACTCCTAATTTCTCACGAAAATCTTCAGTATATTTATATGCTCCACCACCTGAGGCCTGCAGACAGTGTTGATCACATTAAATTCTATTCAGGTCAACAAAGAAAAAGATGATGATAATATCATATATGTTAGATCAATAACTAAGGCTGCTAAATCATATATTCAACAATGTTTCACGTCTTCACACAAAGCTGTGCATTAAATGCTCGAAAAGCATACTTGCCAACATCTATAATGATGTAGTGATACCATACCAAGGAGGAGAAAGCCCTGATTTGCTAAATAAAATAATATTCAAATAATAATGATAAAAAGTTATACTCCGCTGCTTGGGGATACTGCAACATTGTTTCTGTAACTCTGCATCGGTTGGCAATGCAACTCCATGAATTAAATTCGAGAATTAGTTGTGTCAATTAAATGCAACTAATATGATATACAAAATGTAAGCAACTAATTTCTATGTTTGTATTTTTTGAATTCCACCGAATAAATATGATTTCAATGGATTGTAGCAGCAACATCCAATCATATGATAGTAAACTATTGAATGCCATACAAAGCCCATCATACATCCGCTATCACTAGTGAGCAATAATGAAGCCATTCAAAGCTCTTGATTTTTCTTTGGGTATGATAATAGGTAAAACATTCATATGAACATGCAAATAAATGTAGAGGAAACAGCAGATTGCTGGAATGGTCTCCACTTGCATTGATATCTTGATTTTCCGGACCACTAATACATAGCACAAGAAAAATCATACCTTCAATGCTATATTTTCTTTGCTTGAACCCATAGTTGATCCTGTAATTAAAAAAATATAATTAAGCTCACAACAGATAGTTCCAACATTTTTCTTCCCACGAACACAGGAAGCTCCAACAACAGAAATTGTAATTTTGGTTGCAGTAAAAATCGCGTCATATATATAGCCTTCTTCACGCCGGCATGATGGAGTGAAACGCTTGCAAATGTCACCGGCCATGTCCAACAGCCACAGTGAGCTTGCTTTGTTGATCACGAACAGACAAAGATGCCAGCATGAATAGCCACAGAAATTCCCAAATGTGATGAGCTCCTACAGGCTACAGTCCTAAATTGAGAGCAACTAACAATTCCTCATCAAGTATTGAAGTCCCACGCCAGTTAGGCAGTTACCATCCATAGTTTTTGCAGTCTCAAAAACTATGGAGCTAGAACGCTAGAGAATCAACCAAAATTCAGCGCAAAAAAACGCACTACCATTGCGGTGGACGAGACCCTGCGCCCTGACGAAGTCGAAGCACTCCTGCATCCTCCGCCTCTCGAACTTGGCGAACCGCAGCTCCGCGCCTCCGCCACCGCAGCTCGCCGTGTACACCAGCTTTATCAGAGTCCCTGCGGAAAAAAAAAAAAACACCACCCCGGAGCGAGTTCATCCACCACGATCGTCTACTTCGCGCGTGAGAGAGCGAGGAAAACGCGCGTACCTCCGATGTCGAGCGCGAGGAGCGGGGGCGCGGCGGGCTGGCGGGGGAGGAACACGGGCGGGCTCCCGCCATCGTCGGCGGCGGCGCCGCACGCGGGGTCCACGCGGATCTCCGCGCCGGAGAGGTCGACACGAAGCCCACCCATGTCGGCGTCCGCTCCTTCACCGCCGGGATCCCGCAGCCGGCATTTGCCTCGGCGGCCGCCGGGGTTGACTGGGGGCGCGCGCGGGGGGATCGTGCTGGCTTGATCGCTGGCAGCGGAGGCCCAGGAGGAGGAGAAGGAAGGAGAAGTAGTTGGAGTTGGAATTATTTGGTGGGTAGGTGGTGGCGGCGTGGTGGGGTGGTGTGGATCAGAATAGAGAGAGGCGCGTACAGGTTGGATTTGGGAATTTTTGGCCGGGTCGGAGCCCGGCGTGCCGGCCTTCTCTTGGACTCTTGAGAGTCCTGGATTTTTCACATTTTTGTCCTTTTAAAAAACTTATTTTGCAAGTAGATCCCTAGAAAAACTTATCCCAAAAATGGTCCTTTTGGGGGCGCCAGAGTGGCTGGCGCCGTCGTTCAACAGGATGGCGCCAGCCTCTTTGGCGCCGTCCCACCGCCGACGTGGCGGGGCGATGCTGAGGTGGCTAGGGGGAGTGCGCCAGAGTGGCTGGCGCCCCCCCCCCCCCGAAATTTTTTATTTTTGTTTTATTTGTTTGATATTTTTTTCACGCTTAGAGATACACAAGAACCAACCATAGAAAAATTAAACTCAAATAGACGTAATATGTGACATGTAGAATTTTTCCTCTCCTCTCCTCTCTCCGAACTAGTGCAGAGGAGAGAGATGTGCAACTTTTTTATTTTTATTTTATTTTTTTGATATTTTTTTCACACTTAGGAACTCACAGAAACCAACCACGTAAAAAATAAACTCAAACGGACGAAATATGTGGCATGTGGAATTTTCCAAAGCTCCACCGAAAAACTTCTCTCCTCGAAAACACAATCTTGCAAGCGGAATTTGGAGGTTTTAATATCGCCGAACCCGGCAAAGCTAGGGAGAATCGGATGTAACTTTTTCTGTAGATGTCCGTGCATATATTATTTGCCTGATTCCGAGTCCGTATGAGAAAGTTACGCCTATTTTAATAGATGGCATATTTTGTCCGTTTCGGTAGAGTTTTGGAAAATTCTACATGTCACATATTTTGTCCGTTTGAGTTTATTTTTTACACGGTTGGTTCCTATGTTCTCCTAAGTATGAAAAAAATATCAAAAAAATGAAATAAAAATAAAAAAAATTGCATCTCTATGTACTATTTAACTTACATATGTCATTTCATGTGGTTATATTTTTAATTAGATTAAGTAATTTCATATAGTGGTAGAGTGTATTATGTTTAACATGCTGATCAAAAAGTTTTACTAAAGGAGTTATGGTCTAATTTTAGTGAAGGTGCAAAGTAAACTAAGTGGTATGCTAGATATTTTCGGACTTAGCTAAGTGGTAGTTCGAGTTTAAATTTTTTTTGCCATGCTGGCGCCCTCCTCCCTGGGACGGCGCCAGCATGGCTGGCGCCCTCCTCCTGCCACGTCGGTTCGCGTGCGCCACGGTGGCAGGAGGACGGCGCCAGAGAGGCTGGCGCCGTCCCGTTGGATGACGGCGCCAGCCACTCTGGCGCCCCAAAAAGGATCATTTCTGAGATAAATTTTTTCAGGGGTCTATTTGCGAAATAAGTTTTTTAAAAGGATCAAAATATGAAAAATCCAGCTTGAGAGTCTGGCCGAAATGGAGCTGGATTTCTTACATTTGGGCATCTTAATATAAACTTATTTTGTAAATAAACCCTCAAAAAATTAATTGAGGATATGCAAATTTTGCTAAAGAATATCGTGACTTCACTGTTTTAGTTGTAAGACACCGCACGGAGTGACTTTTGGAGAATAAACTCTTAGAAGTTAGATATTTGCTGCTGGACACCACACCTATTAAAATAATAATTTTTGGTTAAAGAGAAGAGAGAAATCGCGTGAAATGTCATAAATATCCCTATACCTGCATGTCAGTTATTCCATCTCTCTTCTCTCTGTCCCCTCCTTCCACACTGATTGGTTGGCGCTGCATCGCATCTCCGCCGTGTAGGAGCGCTTCCCGAGATCAAGGTGGCGGAGTGTGGCGTCGTAGGGCTCGACGACATCTGCGAGGAAGGTGGGCCTTGTGAGGCGATTGTCTGGGAGGGAGAGACGGCGGAGCACCGAGAGGTGCAGGAGGCTTACGAATGAGGAAAGGCATACCCCGACGACGAAGAGCTCCTCAAGGAACAGGTAGCGACCAAGGAACAACGCCGAGGGGGAGGCGGGGGCGGCTAGCTGGCGTGTACGCGCCGCTAGCGCGCACTCCCCTTAAGTTCCTCTATTAGTTATAGTATTAGGAAAGATTTTAAAAAATTTTTGTTGGAGATTTTTTTATTAATAGATTGAAAATTTTTAAGCTAGATTTAAAAACTTTCGATTTAAGATTTAAATTTTAAAGTCAAATTTTAAAAAAAACTTTCAACTCAGATTCGAAAACTTTCAACTCTAGATTCGAAAATTTGAAAACTTCCAACTTGAGATTTGAAAATTTTCAATTTGAGATTTGAAAGCTTTCAACTCGAGATTCGCAAATTCAGATTTGAAAATTTTGAAAACTTTCAATTTGAGATTTGAAAATTTTCAACTCGAGATTTGAAAACTTTCAACTCGAGATTTAAAAACTTTCAAGTCCAAATTTGAAAACTTTTAAGTTAAGATTTAAAAATATTACTAGTAAACTAATCACTAGTAAAAATAGGAAACTAATCACTAGTAAACTAATTATGATTTTTTCTCCTATCCATGCAGTAGCAAACTGTGGAAAAAAGAAAAAAAAGAGAAGAAACAGCGGTAGAAAAAAACTGCGAAAAAAAGAAAAAGAAAAAAAGAGACGTGCGCGTATGCGGTGGGCCTTGTGGGCCGGAAGTGCGCGCCGGTAACGCGCGCGCGAACTAGCATTCCGGGGGGGAGGCGGCCCATGGTGGACTTGACTATACCATCGAGGGTTAGGGTCTTGGGGCGTTCTTGACGGTCGCTGCAATGGCGCGCTCCCACACAGCGGCATCCTCTTCGGCAGGGGCTGCGATGGTGGCAACAGCGCTAGCCATGGCTCGAGGCGGTGATGCAATATGGCACTGACCAACTAGTGTGAAATGAGTGGATAGAGAGAGAAGAGATATGAGAGAGCTGACATATGGGTTCATAGGTATTTCTGCCATTCACGTGATTTCCGAGCTTGACTTGTCAGCTAGACATCACCACCAAGAAGTACGGTGTTGACCTAGCTCCTGGGTACATCAGCGTGATGTGCCCCGGCTGCCACGCATATTGCCAACATTTCCAACATAAGAACATGTAACCTCAATGGCACTTGGCATCGATCCAGGATCCACATTAGCAGTTAGGTTTATAGGACATATTTGTGAAATAGATCTTATAAAAGGTCTGTAATGTAAAATACCAAACAACGGAACCGTGCTGGAAAATTTCCTGCTCGTCGTCTTTTCTAGGCACGTTTACGTAATTACGTTACGCACGCGTACTCGTGCTACTATTACAACTCTCCGCGACCACAAAAAATCGAGAGAGAGAGAAAAAACGAATCCAACTTAGCAGAAATTTTCGTGTACCCATGAATCGGAAGTCAGATGCTAGTCAAAAATGATTTTGCTAATCTTTATCCATGTGGAGTCACCATGGCTGCTTCATAAGTCATCGCTTACGTAAACGAGCGTTCGTATTTCTGTGTAGAGAAAAAAAACGAGAGCTCCATCATTATACTCGGCAGGTTTTTCTTAGTAACATATCACATTCATCTCAGAATATAACAATTTAAAATAAATAATGTCCATCCTAAACAAGTACACTTCTGGTCCCCTTATTTTTTCGGTGCTTATCCATCTTCGATTGCTACGTTATAGTACGGATGGAGTAATTGTAACATGCAACGAGTACACTTCCGGTCCCCTTATTTTCTCGGTGCTTATCCAAAGTTGATGCGGTACTACCACTAAACTGCAAATGTTGCACGCAGGACAAAACAAACTGCAAACATTGTCAAGTTTTTCCACATCAATAATAACAAGGGCCACCATGTCATTACGAATGATGGTGTTTGACAACGAAATTAGTACGAACATACACTCTGTTCAGTATGGGATGAGCAAACCTGAAGCTGACAGCCATGAGGCAGCACTCGGTCGGAGACGGTCACAGTCAGTCAGTTTTTTTTTTTTTTTTGAACAAGTCACAGTCAGTCAGTTGCCATAACTGACCATTTTCCTTTGCCGATTCAGCAGCAACGCCCAACTCGGCAACTTCCCCTGCTGCTAACGAGAGAGTATTAACAACCCCTGCTCGCTCCATCGCTCGGTTCCGTTTTGAGTGCACGGCGAAAACGCAGGTTTTGTTTGTACGTTGGCGCGTGAGCAAGCAACCAGCGAATCAATTAACTGCAGCTCATAACCGGCGTGATAGTTTGGTACCGTGACATAGGGCCTGTTTAGGTCGCGAATGAAATTTTCTTTGTGTCATATCGGATATACGGATATATATTTGAAGTATTATACATATACTTATAATAAAATAAATTATAGATTCCGTCTAAAAACAACGAGATTAATTTATTAAGCCTAATTAATCCGTCATTAGCAAATGTTTACTATAACACTACATTGTCAAAGCATTGAGCAATTAGGCTTAAAAGATTTGTCTCTATTTTTACATGTAATTTGTGTAATTAGTTTTTTTCTATATTTAATACTCTACGTATGTGTCCAAACATTCAATGTGATATGATGAAAAATATTTGTTTGGAAACTTAACAGGCCCATAATCGAAATAGATCGCGAAAAAGCTATTTCACTGCTATCGCACGCCCTCTCTCCGTGCGGCGCAACCACATGGCATGTGCGGAGAGAGCAGTCTAGTTTTTTCCCCATTTTTTTCAGTTCTTTCTAATTTTTTGGTTTTTTAATACATGTATATATATTTTTTATACATTCACATTGTATGCGTATACATAAATTATATATAGTGTATATAACTTTGTATGCACATATACCATGTATATAACATACCCTCTCTGCCCAGAATTTAAGTCTTTTTATTGGATATGACACGTCTTAGTTTTACGAATCTAGACAAAGAGTCCAAATTTATAGTACTAAGAAATATCATATCCAACAAAAAAAAACTTATATTCTGAAACGGAGGGAGTATATACATGCATGTATACCTATAGAGAGAGCATGGAGAAAATTTTTTTATTTCTTTTAATTTTGAGAGTTTTTA